TCAGTGTTGTTACTGTTAATTAAAAAATGTTAAAGAAATGTGTTAACTGAAACAAAGCTAAAGTAAAATTAGAAATAGAAATAGAACTTGGAATTAATTTGAAAATGAAGAATTAATCAGAAAAGGTACGGTTGAAGTGCTAAAATTACTAAAACTGAAATAAAAAGAAATTATTAGTATTAACAGTATTATCAGTATTAAAGCTTAATATAAATATTAAAAACAAGCAAAAATGATAAAAGCACATACAAAAACTAAAATTTAAAATGTTTAGGAATTAATTAGAATTAATTAGAAAATTAAGAATTACATAGACAAGTTTAGGTTGAAGCACTACAATTACTAAAACTGCAATAAAATTAATTCAAGTTAAATAGAAATATTTATATAACAAAAATAAATAAAAATGCAAAAGCACATAAAATTAGATATGTGACAATTAACTACTATGAAAGTAAGTTTAGGTAAGTTCTAAAATTATTAAAACTGAAATAAAGATAAATTAAAGTTAAAAGGAAAAAATAAACTAATGAAAATGACAAAAGTACTAATTAGAAATGTTGCCTTGGCAGCTAACTGGAATAAAATAAGTTTAGGTTGAAGTAATAAAATGACTAAAACTGAAATAAAGATAATAGAATTATATTAAAAAAACTAATAAAAATGACAACACAACAAAATTGCTAATGCACATAACAATAAAAAAATCAAAATGAGCACATCACAAAATGACTAAAACTTAACCAGGAATTTAAATGAAAACTGAAAATATAAAAATAAAACCTAATTTAAAATATTAATAAATGCTAAAAAGAATATTAAAATAACACTGACATGTACAATAGCTTTTGTGTAGCCAACAACACCCTTCCGTTCATTCAGCTCTATTGTCAGAGAAACAAAGACATACAGGAGACACAGTCAGAAGACTGTGTTTTAATAAAACAGCATATGAAACTAAAAACCTTCATTTGAACCCCTCTGAGATGAGTGTTTATTCGGAATCAGTGTTCTGTAACGTTAATGCCTGAGAGCCAGGCGGAGGCTGTTTTTCTCTCAGCTGATCCGCTCTGGGTTTAATCACACCCAAACCAGGATCTACTGTAACAAACGTCTTATTCACAACCACCAGAAGCTCCTGCGTAATTCATAAGAATTGCATTCTTACCTACCAGATGCAAATGCATGAAAGAACAGCTGTGAAAACTCTTGCGATGAAATGCTTAGCTGAGTTTGCTGTCCAAAGGCAGCCGCCATGCAGATGCGCCTGGGCCACAACGAACGCAAGCCCCGCCCATTGAATCTGCAACGTCTGTCCCGTCCAATCAGACGACGATAAATCGAAGCCCCTCCTCTAGCTAAAGCAGCGGTATATAAAATTGATCTCAGAGACGTACGATCAATGACAGTCCAGTGAACTACTTTTATCCTCATCAATATTTTATTCTAAATATTTATTTTTAAATAGCATTTTCTGCGTATTTGTGTATATGTATATTTGTGTATAAAATAAAGATTTATATTTATTTTAATAAAATAAATGCGTATTTAGTCAAATAATTAATAAATAAATGCAAGTAAAAATGTACATAAAATGTTGCGAATAAAAAGTTTTATGTTACTGACGGAACATGGTCAAATCGTCTTAATTATTTATTCATAAAACAAGTAACGACTCGCCTTATGACGCGCTAACCAAATACTTAATTTATTTACTTTTAATATCTTATTTAGCAAATGCCATATTTATGATTTAATTTTTTTGAAAATTATTATTTTTTATTCTGATAGATAACCAAATACTTAATTTATTTACTTTTAATATCTTATTTAGCAAATGCCATATTTATGATTTAATTTATTTGAAAATTATTATTTTTTATTCTGATAAAAGATTAGGTAATTAATTTTGTCGTCATTAATATCTTATTTAGCAAATGCCATATTTATGATTTAATTTATTTGAAAATTATTATTTTTTATTCTGATAAAAGATTAGGTAACCGTGTATGTCGTCATTAATATCTTATTTAGCAAATGCCATATTTATGATTTAATTTTTTTGAAAATTATTCTGATAAAAGATTAGGTAAGCGTCAGTTAACGTTTGTCTAAATCTCGCGAAGT